AGAAAACAACTAAAAGGGGAGGAACTACTTATTTTGATTTGTGAGTCCATGGTTGCTTGGCCCAATGTCCATGAGCAGAATAACATGTTGGCTGGATCCTGTGACACAGGAGGTTCTTTACTTCATGGCCACAGATAGCAGAGAAAGAGAGGAGAGGAGTGGGGACCAGATAGAACTTTCAAAGGCACACCCCACTGACCTACTTCCTCCATCTAGGCATCACCCCCTGAAGTTTCCACCACTTCCTAAAACAGCACTACCAACTGGGGACCAAGTGGATGAACATGTGAGCCTGTTGGAGAACATTTCATATTCACACCATAACTCTACCCTTATTACTCTCCTAATATTTGAAAAGCCAGGAAGGCTACTTCCAGAAAGAAATATTAACATTATGATTTCATCGAGCACATATATAATTTCACATATATGATAGTGAACAATTTTTTGCTTTGCCTCTCAAGACAATTAGCAACCCATATGGAATCCTGTTCTGAAGGACACAAAGGAATCTCCTCTCTGGTCCCTGTTCTGACTTCCTCTTCCTCCTGATATCTCCTTCGTTGTCACCATTATTTTACTCCTTTCTCATCCTTTCAGGTCATTTGACTTCAAGTTTTCCCCTCAATAAGGTTGGAGAACAGAAGAGCAGTGAAAGAAACTCACATTCCCCAAGTCCTACAAGGGAAAGACAAAGGACAATGGTCCTTTGAGGTCTGTCCTGAGAGAGAACATATAAAGAACAAATATAACTTTCCCTTACAGGTGTTAGTGCCATTCTTAAGTGTAGCAAAGTATGTCCTTTTTCCAGCTGTGTAAATGCCTTACTTATTAATCTAGCTTCGAATTCTGTGGGAAGGAGGCAGGATCTTCAAGGGGATGAGGGAGATTTGAAGTACTATTTTGGGTCCAGATAGATGTGTGTCCAACAACAAGGTCCCAGGAAGATGTACTGCACTCTCCCCCATACTGAGCATGCTGGCTTCGAGTTTGTTCCCTCTCCCACGGGGAACTTTCATCCTTTATAAAGGATGGTTTGTGTTGCACAAAAGGATGGTACATTCCCTTTTATATCAATTATACAGTAAGGCCTCTGAACAAACTTACATTTGTTTTTTTTTTTTCCATTTTTCTTTTATTATTCATATGTGCATACAAGGCTTGGTTCATTTCTCCCCCCTGCCCCCACCCCCTCCCTTACCACCCACTCCACCCCCTCCCGCTCCCCCCCTCAATACCCAGCAGAAACTATTTTGCCCTTATCTCTAATTTTGTTGTAGAGAGAGTATAAGCAATAATAGGAAGGAACAAGGGGTTTTGCTGGTTGAGATAAGGATAGCTATACAGGGCATTGACTCACATTGATTTCCTGTGCATGGGTGTTACCTTCTAGGTTAATTCTTTTTGATCTAACCTTTTCTCTAGTTCCTGGTCCCCTTTTCCTATTGGCCTCAGTTGCTTTAAGGTATCTGCTTTAGTTTCTCTTGTATTCAGTTGCTTAAAATAAGTTAAGATCTGTGCCAAAAAAGGAATTCCAGGCTTTCTGACCATGAGGCCTCTAGTCTGTAGACAGTTCTTCCAGTCATAATCTCTTCTGTTGGTTGTGTCATGGTACAAATACAGAGAAAAACCATCTGTAAGCTTAAGTCAGGTTTATTCAAATGTTGAGGCACATGCTGATAGAAAGCCAGTGAGAATAAAGTTCAGAGATGTTCCATTACCATTGACCTTGGAATGGGCAGTTTATCAATAAGCAACAGGTTCTTACTTTTTTTTCTGATGATTGGTTATGTCTTAAGTAGTCATCGTCTGGCAGCCTATGAGGGATATGTGTGCCAAGATGGTGTGGCCTATTAACCTGTTGGCAGAGGAAGTAGACAAGCTTGTGTAACTGAGGTATGAAATGGTGCTATCGTTTGTTTAGTGTTAAATTAGACCTATACCCAGGACTGAAGAATGGTCAAAATGTTCCAGAATTAACTATTATAGCAGAAGTTCTCAATTCTGGCTACACATTAGAATTATCTGCAACTTTAAAAAGACTACCAAAGTTGAAGTTCAATCCCAATCTAATTAAATAAGCACTTCTGGGATGAAGCCAAGGCAGTGACATTTTTTTTAAAAGTTCCTTAGGCAAGATGAGAACCACCACTATTAGGCAGTGGAAACAAGAATAAATTTCTTCTCTGGAAAGCACTCAAAAAAATGGAGTCCATTCCTCTTATTCTGGCATCCAGAGGCCTTCATGGTATTTCCCAACTCACCTTTCCAGTCTCTTCCCTTTCCATTTCCTCTCTCTCTTCCTCTCTTCCCAATGCTTCATTGGCACCATAACTTTATCTTATACCATGGCATGTCATAAACAATTTGGTACATTTACTTTCATGTTTCCTCTGCTTGGAGGAAATCCTGCCAATTTTCCTGTGAATATCATTTCTATACCACTTCCAGTTGCAAGATTCACCAGTGTCTATACATATCACATAAAATGAATGGATGGGAACTCAACACAGTCCTGCTTCTGCCTAAGAGGATTTCTATCATGAACATATGTGAAATTCATATTATTGTGCTTCTTTTTAAAGGCCTGTGAGTTAACTTAGTTATGGAGTTATAGACTTTTGGAATACTGGCTAACTTAATACATGAATTTGTGAGTCTAGGATCATTAGATTTTGTTCATTGCAAGGAACAAAGATTTACTCAGGTTGCCTAAAGACAACTGGGTGTATTGTGAGAACACAGGCGGTACATTGCAGGAATCTTGGGTAGGTAGGCAATATGAGGGTCAACGTCAAAACATGCAGCAAGATTTTCATTTTGCCCCTAGCATTAGGAATTCAGTAAGGTCAGTTTATGCTTCACGTTAATGGATTATATCCTTTCTATATATGCCTTTCTTTGTATTCTTAACAGCTTTGGTTCTATTACTTTCTGATCTCTCTCTCTCTCTCTCTCTCTCTCTCTCTCTCTCTCTCTCTCTCAATATTTAAATATCAGAGTAAGAAAGTTGAATTAGAACTCAAGCTGCCATCAATTATGTTCAGGCAGAGCCTTTGTGGCTGCCTTCTTGGAGACTGCCGGCCAGGTCAGGTGCTCATCTTCCAATTACTTATGGTAAGATGGGGCGTTTGAGTAGTAAAAGCCAGTCACCTGGACCTCCCACACCCAAGAGGTCAAGCATGGGACAGTTCTCCACAGAAGGAGCTTTAGTTTGGCAGGAACCTATAGGTTAATAATACCAGATAATCCAAAGAGCCATAGAACCCAAATGTGTGGTTATATACCTGGAGCCATATATACTCTTGGATCCTTTTTTAAAAATACAGAACCATGTCTCACTTCAGACCCACTAAATTAAAATTTCAAGGGGAATGATTACAGAACATGTGTGTGTGTGTTGTATGTATACACACACACACACACACACACATATATAAAATATCCCCAAGTGAACACAGCTTTAAACTTGTGAGGGAACAGAGCCATGTGAAGGGTGAGAAGGGTCAGACTGAAGGTTAGGAAGTCTTCTTGATCCTCTTAATAAATGTGTAAGGGAATTCAGAGCACATTTGTAAAGTAGCAGTGCTGAGGAAAAGTAGTCTCCTTCAAAGAAATAAAAATTTCAGGAATGTTTCCCTGTAGTTTCCAGAATATACTCAAATGAGAGTTTGAGAGAGAAGTAGAACTAACGCTAAACCCAAATATCATGAACTTTTTCTGTGTCCTCAGATAAAATTTAAGTTTACTTCATTTCTTCTCATCTATAGCATGTATATTTACTGAAGTATCATAAACAACATATAATTTTATCAAAATGCTTCCTAAATTCCAAAGAAAGCTTTCATTAAATAATTTAAGAAAATCTCTAGCTTAATGAGGGAAAGCTAATAAACTATTTATTTATGTTGTAAAGAAAGAGTTATTTACCATAAATAAATCCTAATAATCCATATCACTATAACAAATAAGCACATATTTTTTTGATATTATTATCTTTATTATAAAACAAGTATTTTCTGTTGAGGTAACATTTCAAATGGCATTGGCAAAAATCAGTTGACTCCTATATACAGAATTTTGCTATGTGCAAAATATGTGAAAGACTCACAGAACAGTTTTTCCACATTGTGCATAAACTGACTTTAGAAAAAATAAAGCTAAAAGTTCTCTAGGTAAAGACGGATTTCTTTCTCCCACTCTCCCCCTACTTGATCCTACATCATCCTTGAGGTGATATTCATGGGAATTGCACAAAAAGCATTGGATAGGATAAAATAGTTGGGAAATAAGTTTTGTTTATCCAAAACGTCCCATTGGCATAGTTTGAAAGTACTTGTATAAAATTAATATTCAATCATTCAAGATTTACTATTGTTTATCTGAAGAATAAATAGAGTGCTTTTATCTTCAATGGAGAAATCCTACTCAACCTTCCAACTCCAGTGGCTTTCCCACTATGATGCCCACTATGTGTCCAAAGCAAAGTTGGTCACCCCCTTCTGTGCTCCCATATATTTTGTCCATAGCTCCACTATGGCATTCCCCACAAGGATTATTACAGTTCTTGTTACCCCCATATGCATCTCTTTTTAACTCTTTATCTTTGTGGTCTCTCTATAAGCTCCTCAGGAGCAAGAAATGAGTGAAGCTTTGTTACATCCTCAACACCTAGCACAGTGTCCAGCACATAATAGAACCTCAATAACTGTGTCAGGTCAATGAGTCAGGAACTATTCAGCTGTGAAGCTATAATGCAAACCTTTGTTTCAGTTTCAGTCTCACTGAGTGTGTTGCAGTATCATTCCATATTATCTAAACTCCCATGGAATGCTGACTCCCTAGAAACCAGGGTAATGCCCAGCAATTCCCTTCAGAAAGAAATGGCCTCTGATTATCCTTCCAATAAAAATATCAATAAATTATAATTGCATTGATCTTTCCACTCTCAAACACCCAAGACTCCTTTCTGTGAGAGCCACTTCTTAAGAAAGCGAATGCTAGTAGCCATCTTGGCAGTCATTATCATCTTGGTCTCCAATGGGTTTGTTGTGATAAGCATCAATTGTTAGTTTTCTGCTGTCGACCTCCAAATTTTTTGGCGGGCCATCTTCCTCGCTGCTGGATGTACTCTCCATGGAGTTGCTATCTTCTTTTGATCTGCTGCTGTCCTGAGAATCACTGTCAGCCTCTTCCTCAGACCGGCTATCTTGACTCTGGCTCTCTGCTGAGGCATCCTGAGACTGGAGGCCCTCTTGGCTGGAACTGTTGTCATCCTCGCTAGACTCTGGGCTTTCCTCTGAGGATTTGAAGCTCTCATTGGACTCGCTGTCAGCTTGCTCCTCTCTGGATTCACTTTCTGAACTGGAGAGTGTATTCAAGCTGTCTTCTTCACTGGAGTCGCTGACTCCTGTCTGACTGGTGTTGTCCGGATTATCACCCCTGGACTCACTAGTCACCTCTTCCTGAGATTCACTGCTGCTTTCCTGAGATAGCAGGTCATCTTCTTGGCTGGACTCACTACTGGGATCCTGCACATCTCGACTGTCTTCCTGGGACTGACTCTCTTTACTGTCCTCCTGAGACTCATTCTTGCTGTCCTCTCTGGATTGGGTAAGGCCAGCTTCTTCAGAGTCGGTATTGTCCATGGAGTCACTCTGGACTTCTTCTGTTGCTTGGCTCTCAGCAAGCTCACTTCTGCCATCTTCCTCAGAGATGCGGGACTTTTTGAAAAACTTCTTGCTGGGATACTCCACTGAGTGACTTTTCCCTGAATCCTGAGTGCTCACCTGTTCACTATCCCCTTTTGATGCTTTTGATCTGACATCTGCAGTGCTCATCCTGGAGTGGCTTCTCTCACTCCTGGTGCTGTCCGGGTCATCACTCTGCATTCCTTCATCATCGAACTCAGAACCATCCCCGTGGCTACTCTCCCCCTCACTGCTGCTTCCCACCCAGTGTTCCTCACTCTCGCTGTCCCAAGTAGAGTCACCTCTCTGAGGCCTATGCTCCTCCTCTTCTTCACTGTCGAGGTCCCTGTTCTCACTGGTGGTATCTTGGCTGCTATCTTCCTGTAAGGCACTGTCTTCAGTGGATTGTGCAGTGTCAGAAGAATCCTCATCACTGTCAAGTCTGGAGAGTCCTTCTTGACCTTCTGCAGGCACCGGGCCATCGTCCTCATCACCAAAGGTGTCATCTCCACTGTCATCTTCATCATCTTCTTTATCATTTCCTTCTGCTCCTGCACTCCTAGAGAGGCCACTAGCTGGTCTATAAATATACTGGGTATCATCAGAATCCAGGTGCTCCTCTGTCTCAGTGCTGTCACTGGGATCATCATTTGCCTAGAGTTTGGGTAAACAGACATGGTCAGTCCTCCAGAGGCTGATACAGAGGGAGCTGTGTGTGCTGACCTAGGTTCCTATGCCCTCCTCTAACCCAGGATCAACCTCACTGCTCAGTAACATCTCCATCAGAGCTTAAACAAGAAGGGGGAAGAGTTGAAATGCAAGTCCTTCCATTTTATATATGCACACTTCACTTCATGCCTACCCTACCTCGTTCAGCACTTATCACACCCTTCTCAAGCAACAGTTGCTATCTTCACTTGAGACCTTAGAGAACATCAAGGCAATAAGTACATAGTCCTAGGAAAGAGTTTTTCTCCAATTCTGCATTTTTACGTTTCATTTCTGGAATGTTCTGATAAACCTTTAGTGTGTATGGATAAACAGGCTAATGATTCATCTTCTAACTCTGGCTCAGTGTAGAATGCAAAGTAGGCCAAAGCTTCAGAGAGAAACACCCATTACTAAAATCTCTGAAGCTCCCACAGATTTGAATCTGGTCCTGGACAGGAGAGGACTTGGAAGTAATTCAGTGGTAGAGCACTTGCCTAGTGTGTGTGAGGCCAGCAATGCAGATAGATAGATAGATAGATAGATAGATAGATAGATAGATAGATAGATAGATGATGGATGGTGGATAGATATAGATAGATAGATAGATAGATGATGGATGGATAGATAGATGATAGATATAGATAGATTGATAAACAGGTAGAGACAATTAAGAAAGTAATGACATTTATTCTTAGAAAAAAATTTCACCTAGTATTTTAGTTAAAGGATATTAGCTAAGTCTGTCTCCCTCCGGGGCCACAGATGGAACTACATTAAAGAGTCAGTCTTTCCCACAGCAGCTATTTTCATAAAGTTCCCCCAAGGCTCTCCTTTTCTCTTCCCCATGACATTCTTGACATCGAACTGGTCTCCAGACCTGGGGTGTGTTGGGAGAGCACCTCATATTAGCCAGAGTATTTTAAGTTGCCTGATGTAAACTACTCCAGTTGTAAAAGCAATATTTTAGTTGAGTGAACTATTACTTGTCTAATTGTCAATGACCATTTGTACATGTGCACATGTAAATGTTTTTTTTCACTAATGGGACATTTAGGACCACAATTTCTCAGATGATAAAAATGAAATGAACAGCATGTCCACATCTGAATTCTCCTCAATCACCTTCACCTTCCTATTTTATGGGACTATTTAGCTAGCATAACCAATGTTTAGAAAATATTATATTTAGAACTGTTGCCAGGTAATTTAATCTATCATCATTTCCTTCAGTTTCTTAGTAGCCAGAAAGGCTAAGAAAGCCTGTTTAATTACCTGTTCCTCTGAGCTAACTTTACTTTCTTCTGATGACTCACTGTTCTCCTGAAAGAAAAAAAAATGCTTATTTTCCTTTCAGTAATTCCTCAAGAAAGAGAAAAAATATGATGCACATCAATTGCTTGAGATTTATATTTACTTTTTTCAAGATGGCAAAAAGCTATGAAGAGACTATTACTTCATGAGATCTTTATGAGAAAAATAAATGAGATAGTTACCATGGGTGGTGTTGGTGACTGAGCCAAATGACTCTGCAAAAAAGGAAGGAAAGCAGGTGACATTTTCATGAGTAGATTATGTCATTGCACATACGTAGAATAAATTTAGGTGATTTTTAAAGTTTTTGGTTTGTATTTTATATTTATATTAACAATTAAATTTTATGGTTAAATGGCTGAAAAATAAGGTAAAATGATTACCACTCTGAAAAAATCTTGGTATATAAGAGACCTAGGAGATTTTTATAATTCTGATGCCTCACCATACAGAAAGAAAGAAAGATAGAGATAGGAGGTAGATAGAGATAGAGAGATTCTCTTTGAAGCTGTTTGTTCATACAACATACAGGAAATGTAATACAGGATAACATTGGAACTCAGAAGCTAAATTTAATTCTCAATGAGTTGATTGGTTCTGGTTTTAGTCTTCCAAACCAACCATCTTGGTTTTAGCCCTGAGAGTCATCTGTTTCAGGAAACCCTTAAGATCCATGAAAGCTAAAGGGGTTGGTTACTCTGTGTGAAGGTGAGCAGTTCACTTCAACTGTCATAAATCAGGAAAATTAACACCCACTCTGCTTACCCTACAAGGTTGTTTGTGAGGGTGGATTCAGCTAACGCTATGAGCACTATTCAATGTGATGTAAACAAAAAAACCAATAAATTTTGACAAAATCCACCTCATGAAATTTAACAGTAGACAAAATTGAATTAAGAAAGCCATTAACCTTTCTTGAATCACTGAAGAGCACTCACATTACAAACAAATGGTAAATCTGAAATTTAACTACCATAGTCATGGTTTTGATTTATTACACTTTCCTTAGTCTCCTAACATTTCTTGAGAAACTTCTGCTCCATCCCTTCACCTCCTGTCTCTGTTCCCCTTTCCTCTTGAGCAGAGCAAGGTCTTGCGTGGCAAACCCAAGGCACCAGGAAGAACAGGGAGTAGCTGCTCCTGGCATGTCTTCAGCACGTCTCTCGGCAGTGCTGGTCTGGGGCATCTCAGAGAAAGGTGCTGTAATCACTTGTCTTGTGAGACTTTAGGCAGGCTCAATGGCAAACTCTGCTCCAGTCAGTTATCATTCGCAATTAAGGGACAGCACGACATTGATATTTTTCTCATGCTAAGGCTAGACTTGGGAACAAGGCATGTATGTGTGAGTCTCTGGTTAGATGACAGACAGGCTCTACAGTGGCTGCTTTTAAATTAACCAGCCCATTGATTTCGCTGAGGAAATTTCATGATACAGCGTGCAATGTCTACTCTAGCCTAAAGCAAGGGCAAGACCACCTCAAACCTCTGATTTTATTTTGCCACCACCAAAAGCATTGGGCCAAGCTATATATGTACAAAGGCCAGCAGGAAATAAGGTAGTGAACAAAATGCTGTTTGTGTAAGATTTTAACCATACTTCTAGTGACAATCCTGAGTACTTTCAGCCCTCCCACCCCTGGTTCCTTTCCCGAGAGTGATACATCACACTGGTAAGGTAGAGATTCTGCAGCAAGAGTGACATAAATTCAAAGTCTGGCTCTCTCACTTGCTAATTATATAACCTAGATAGATGAGGTTACTCTCTGTGCTTCAGTTTCTTATCTGTAAAATGAGAATAAAATAGAATGCCTAACTCATTGGATTGTTGTGAAGGTGAAACATTTAACACATATAAAGCACCCAGAGCCATGCCTGGCAATGATTCTTGACTAACTGAGAGTTATTAACATTGGGTTATTAAGAGTTCTACCCTCAATAAATATTACCATCATTCCAAAACTCTAGTGTCTTCTTATTCTTCTTTTCTTCTTCACCTCTCAGAAACTTGGCTGACTAAACATGTCCTGATTAAACAGACTTCAAGTCCTAATCTCTCACAGACAGCTGTCGTTCATTGGTATCCATCTCTTTGCACTACTCTACACCATCCACTACAAAAATGCTTCCTCACCAATTTATACCACAAAGTCAGAATTGACCAACATTTTCTTATATAAATTTAAAATGTTAGCTCTTACTACCTGGAGCATCAGTTATCAATATGCTCATGAACTGTTAACAAGTGGAATGAATGATTATACTAATCACATATTAAAACTTAAAAACTTCAAAATTCATATTTCTACTCACTTTCCATTCTTCAGAGCTCTCAGATTCAGTATTTTGATATCTTGCCACCTAGAAGATTGAGTAGACCTAGTCATCCATGAGGGACTTTCCAAAGCAACAGTCATTAGCACTTTACATACTTAGGATGAGATGTAGCCAAAATTTTAGTCTGCATTAGGATCACTGGGAGAGCTTGTTAAAACACACTGCCGTGCCCATTTCTCAAGAGTCTGGCCAGGTGGCTCTGAGGTGGGACCCAAGAACGGACATTTCTACCCAAGTTCTACTTGATGCTGACTCTGCAGGTCAAGAGTTACACATTGAGAGTCACTGCTTAAGAGGAAGAAAATGAGAATCATCACTATATGGATGGCAACTGAGTAGAATAATGAATAACTTGGATGATATTTTAAAGAAAACAACTTTCCAAGAAACTGCAATTTTCATTTTACTGGAACACATATACTAACCTGGGCTCATAGTCAATAAAAATTGTGGAGTTATATATATATAAGGTATAAAACAGGAATATATACATATATCCTTACCCTGATACTTACTGGGAGAGCACAGGATAACCCCCAAAGGAACACAAGCAGGAGGCTGGTCCTCATAGTTGGGTGTGATGCCTCTACCTGTAAGGAAAGACGTACATGCTTTACTCCATGTTAAAGAAGCCAAGGAGCTTCAACTTTCAAAGTTCTTTCTATTAAAAAAAAACCTATAAAATGTCCATTGACTGATGAATGAATGGCTAAAGAAAACGTGCTTTCTCTATACAATGAACTGTTATTTAGCCATAAAAAGAAACAAAGCACTGATACGTGCTACACTACAGAGGAGAGGAACTGAAAATGTTATGCTGAGTGAAAGAAGCCAGACATGAATGACCACATTAGGATAATTCCATTTATATAAAATGTCTAGAATATGCAAATCCACAGAGACAGAAAGTAGATTAGTGGTTGCCCAGAGCCTGGGAAGATGAGGGGTTGAGAAGTGATGGCTGAGAGGTGCAGGATTTCTTTTGCAAATACTGAGACTGTTCTAAAAGTGACTGGAAAGGTCGTTAAATCTGTGAATGTAATAAAACCACAGAGTCGTACACTTCTGATAAGTGAGGTATGTGGTAAGAAGGTACATCTCAGTGAAGCTGTCCTCAAAATAAACAAGAACCTAATTCCTAAAAGACAAACAAACTTTTCAGTGATGAGGTCTATAAATACTAGCACATAGCATGGAGAAAAGGTAAAGGAAAGAGAGAAATTTCAGCCCAGCCCCTTTTAGAATAATTCCACAGCAGAGCATAGCAGAGCAAGGTTGGTAGTTTATCCCCTAAAACATTATTTGTTGACAGCATTGATAGGTGGTGGACATCTGTACACACACACACACACACACACACACGGGCTTCTCAGTCAGAATTATAACTGTATAATAATGTCTAGACAAAGTAAATTGTTTTTGCACATTTTTTCTTGATCTGCAAGAGATGAACTGTGGCAAGCTTCATATTACAGCCCCAGAAAGCTCTTAATGTCTACTGTGCTACATTATAGCATACGTTATACATGACTGTGCTAAATTCTCTTAGGTGTCATTCACAGCACTGAAGGATCTGGGGAAGATTAGAGGTTTGGGATACACTTGTGAATCATGCTGAGAGACAAACACCAAGTCAAACTGCATTATTCTGGAAGGTGGCTTCATTTCACACTCTAAGAACTAGTGGATTCAAAAACAAGTAGACACCCCTAGATGCTAATGTAAAAAATTGTCAAAATGGTTTAAAGGAAAACAATTTTACCTGCACTAGTTTGTACTTGTAACTGCTCTACTACACTTGTCCAGTGTTCTTCCATACATTTATCTCAGTCTTCACATTTCTTGATTTCTTTCTTTACATATTAAACATGTATTATACGAGTTAGAAGAGATTTAAGACAAAGATTTGCAACTCTGGCAAATCTTAGTATCATGTGGGAAAATGTTTAAAATATCAATCCACAAATCCCATCCTGAAATAATAAATCAGCTAACTAGACCTAGGAGTATATTTGATCTTAAAGTATTTCATATGATTTTTAATCCTGGCCATAAGAACTAAGAATATTGTTATCAATATCTGAATGTGCTGAATGATGTCTGAACAATGGAACTCAATAAGTCATCTGATATCCTAATCTTATTTTTTTAATTTATTCACAAAAGTAATGGATATCCTAAGATAAGGAGACTGAAAAGTTTCTCATTTCTACTTTCATGCAGCTCAAAGGTCAAACAGGGCTCTTACTTCAGACATGTACATTGTCTAACTTTAGCATAATTTCTCTTAATTTGTATTATTTTCTTTATTCTAATTCAGCATGTTACACATCACTTTTCATCCATACACACCTATAGTTTCAGCCTTAAGAGACAGGGGATATACCCAAAGGAACGTAAGTCAGTTCACAATAAAGGCACCAGCACAGCCATGATTATTACAGCATTATTCACAATAGTCAAGGTTAATATGGTTGATGTACTTTCTATACAAAAATGATTACAGAATTTTTTAAACCTGTTGAAATCACTACAAGAGGACTAAGCTATAAAGGAGAAAAATAGAGGGCATGAACCAGTTTGGGTTATAATACATATATACATGGAAATGTCACAAGGAAACTCCCTGCATAACTATCTTAAACTCCCTGCATAAAAATGTATTTAAAATAAAAAAGCAGAGGCAGGAAGATCCTGAGTTCAAGTCCAGCCTGGGCTACACGGTGAATTCAAGCCAGCCTGAGATACATACAAAGACCCTGACTCTAAATAAATAAATAAATATCAGTTTTCATGTTTTGATGTTATTTTAATTTCTTTCTAAATCCTTTGACTAATATCAACTGAGAACATATAAAAATGCTCAACTGTACCTAAACAAATCCAGCTTAACAGATATTACTTCCATTTGGTTCCCACAATCCAAACATTTATTTAAGTTCTTAGATTTGTTCTCAAAAAAGTAAAATTTTCCCAAATATGATATTCTCAAAATTACTTCATGTTGATGATTTTATCTTCACAGGTCAAATGAACATTAGGCAAAATTAAATCATTTTAATTTTCCTAATGAAATTTGGATAGGCTGATACTCTCAAGAAGCTCTAATCACTAGCAAATAATGCAGCCTTGATAAAAGACCAAGGATTGTTGAGTGTTCTTGTATTTTCTCTAGCTTCTCTATTATCTAATAATTGAAAGATGAAGGAATACCACTGCACATTTACTCTCAATCAATGAATAGTATGTGTTTTTTTTTTTTTACCAAAAAAGTGTGTGCTTCCAGTAGTCACGATTCTCTGGAGTGAAATATTGTGAAACAGAAGGAAGACCCACTAACTTGCTCAGGCTTCTAGAAATACCAGTTAGCACCCTGACCTAAAACAATAATTTCCTAAATAGAAGTCTAGTAAATTAAAATAAAGACATCCTAGAATCCCAAGAGAGCTATGTTACCTTGCAAAGAATATAGCCCTCTCTTAATCATTAAAGAAAGTTATATCTTAACCCTATGTTAGGCTTTCAGTTAATATTTTTATTATAACAATACTTGTGTAAATGTATTTCCAAATGAGAGCACCTTACTTTTATAAACTTTTTAGCTACTCTCTTAAGAGAAGTAAAAGCATATTTTCAGCAACCTTATTCTGAATAATAAATTAACAAAATAACTACAAGCCTAAAAATTAATAGTCCAGAGCCCCAAGCTCTTCATTGGTTGGTTAATGTTATCTGTCCATTCTACATACAGACATTTTATAATGAAAGCATGCAACCAAAGGAAATCTTGACTTGAGCTCCACCTGTCTGGAAGTCAGTGTATTAGAGGCATTCAGCCTTTTTTGGATAGCTTTATATAAACTGAAGTGAAAGAAATAAGCCAAACAAAAGAAATCAAAGTTCAAAAAAACATAGGCTCTTTTTCATCTCTGACAATTTGCATTATTCTTTATTTTTTTGTCTTAATATTCTTAGCCTTGAGTAGTAATGAATAATGTATTCATTTATTAGCAGTTAATAAATATTTAAGAACAGCCAATGTGCCAGGCACTGTTCTAGGTGCTGAATATACAATGATGCCATGCATAATAACAATAACAATCATAATAATAACCTGCTCTCAAAAGTAAAATTACACAATTAATCCAGTTAAGCAGCACCTGCCAGAATTAGTCTCATTATAACTCTGAAAATAAAGTGGAATTTGGCCAAGAGTAAACTCTACAGAAATTCAGAGACCCAAACATATAAACCGATAAAATTTTCCAATCTTTCTTATAAATTTAATTGGTTTAATTTAGTTGGTTATAATTGATATTTCATATCTCCAACTATAGTGGCAAAATCTGAAGTAACTCAAATATAGATTGGGAAGGCATTAAGTATCTGAGGCTCATTGGTCCACATCACCATTGTGGGGACAGTGAATGGAATAATATTCTTTAGAAAATTATTTGTTCACATTTTCAATTGACAAGTTAAAGTATGACAGTCTATGTGAGCCTCAGAGAAACAGAGTTTGGTTTATCAGAAGTTGTTCCTCCTGAAGAGGCAGTTGCTTGAAGTACTTCTACATCAATGGGATCTTCTAAATGTCATAACAAATGCATGGTCTAACCACAGATCCTACCCTGTGTAGAGGACAGATACTTCTGGTATGACTGAAGGAGTGGATGAATGGGGCAAATAAAAATAAATATGAATAGGATTATATACACACCCAAGTCTTCTACACCAGAAAATGTTTTAAAAGACAGCTATATTCAACATATATTGAATTCTTACTGCACTGAAAGCATTATGCTAACATGAATACACAGTTAACAATGCAAATACACTGTAATTATCACACCCTTGGTTCATTTCAGTAAACTTGGCATCTTCTTTCTGTTATTTATGCAATTCAAAATGAATATTACTTGATGCTTTCTAAATCAATAACATTATACCATCTTTAATTTAAAAGACTATGTCTTGAAAGCCCTACCACTCTACTTTAGATTTCCTCACACTATCTACATATCTAGAAAAAGTACCTGTGAGCTTATGTTTGTTTTGCATTTAATTAAAATGAACTTCTATCAGCCTCTGTTCAGTAAACTTTCTCTTTCAGAAGTATTATACAAAGATGTAATTAAAGCATTGCCAATAGAAACACCTGGCTCTATTGCCTTAACATGTCACTGCAATATCACTTTGACTGTGGTATTAGCAACAGGAAAAAAATGGGAATAGTTTCTACTCAAAGCCCAGCTAGCCTCATCTTTCTTTGTCTCTCAACATGGATACACAGTTAATATTTTCAAGCAGCATAGCAAAACACATCTTAAAAAAAATTAAGTAAAGGAAAAGTCTTACCCTTCTATGTTCACAAAGACTTTCCCCAAAAGTCTCAAAACTCAGGTCAAAGTTCTCACAGAAGAAATAATCAAGCCACTCTCGTGTTGCTATTGTGAACATTTTCCTGATGGCACAAGAATTTAAACTCTGCTGCAGCTCTTTAGAGCCAATCAGCATCAGGCTGGTGGTGACTGACATCACAGATGTCATGGGGACCCCATAACACCCA